AGCAATCTGGGTCCAGCACTGCCCTAGTTCTGTCCCTCTATTTTGGGCAACCCTTTAGAAAGTATTAAACAGAGGAGAACAATGCAATATTTGAGTGACAACATTATGAAATGCTCTTGCAGATGACAGCCACATCTGTCCAAAGTGTTGTGGGAGAGGACTGAATGACATCAATCATGTAAATGTAGACTGTGATACTAATCAGCCCTCGACTGGTTCAGGCCGAGAGGAAAAACAGTTCTATGGTGTTGCATGTCACATCTGTAATTTCCCTGTAACTCCATTATTGTCCATCATGAGGGCTTGGGCACTTGAATTGGCATGATTTAAAACTGCAGTCATCAGAGTTCAAGTGATTGTAAAACCCCACTGGACCCTTTGGCCGCCAGCTTTTGATTAATTCCTCAAGAGGTTTTATCTGTACGGACCTTTGAATTGATGAGACGGCCTCTCGACAGGTGCTTTGTAGTTTTTTTTTTCAATAACGTGTGGATGAAGAGAACGAAAAGTACTCCCTTTTCATCATATTTAATATTCCAATAAAATCTTCAGTATGTAAAGTGGCGACACAACACAAGAACACATCCCTTTGATATCAAACTCAATTTGCACAACTCACCCCTTTCAAAATTAATCATCCAAAAAAAGATTCAGATAAGAGAGAACAACGACAACATTTATCTTGTTTTCACACAAACCTTAGAGAGTAGATTCATCTGCCCACTCCCAACGACAGTAGTTAATAATCCATTTGTCCTGTTTCTAAAAATCAAAGGAGAAAAAAAACCTGCATTTATTAATATATGAGAGAGAAGATTTAACAAACAGAAAAGCAGACACTGGAGAAGGCGGCCATAATGACTTTCACTGTCTTTCAAAGTTGAAAGCCAGAGTGGGCATCCCTGGCATCCTCTGGCTCTTTGATGTGATTAAGATGGATTCAGACTTTCACTCAGTGCACAGAAACCACACAGTTGTTCTGCTAATGGCATCTATCGAAACCTCGAAAATGGCAGACAAGTATAAAAACAATGGGGTTTGTTTCAACTGAGAAACTATGTGAAAATGTTAGTCTACCTTATTTAATCCAGGGTCATTGTGAGCAATCTTTTTAATCAGAAACCTTTCATGAGTGAGAAATGGAAAGTCCAATTTAAAGTTACATGTTTTAAACTGTGATGTAAAAATTCTCTGCTATGATTAATATTTTGTTTAACATGGTTTTCCCTCATAAAAAAGAAAAAAAAAAACTCCTCATTGAGAAATTCTGGATTGGGCGTCGTGCCTCGCCCACCACCACTGCTTATACTTGGTTGACCAGTGAAAGAGCAGTGCATATCAAGATGGTTAGCTTTAGAGGAAACATCGGAGAGACTCAGCTACATGTTTGAGCCTCAGTCGGACCCAGACCCAGATGAGGAGTCTGTTGTGCACCAAAATGTAACTCTTGGTTGACAAGATTTTGGGTTTCTTTTTGGATCAGTCTGTACTCAGTCATGGTGTTGACTGCTAATTGTGCTCATGATATGTCTTGTATCATAAAAAAAAACCCTGATTTTCTTTGAAGGGGGTCTTTAAACATTCAGAAGGTTCTTTCTCCAACAAGAGAATCATCAGCTAATACAGACTAATCCAAAGCAACAAGGCCAACTAATCACATTAAGATATACCACTGTGAGTCATTCTGCCATTGCAAAAAAAAAAGAAAGCACTCCCAGGCTTTTCACTAGAAGAAGTGAAAGGATGAATCACCAAGTAGCTTTAAGCAACAAGAGGGGAATACTTTCAAACACAGCCCAGCCTATCGATGCTAAAGCTTGAAGCTGTTGTCTGGAGAGCGCAGGGGGAAAGTCACGCTCTGTGTCTAAAAGGAAAATGTGCTCTAAATCCATTTCAAAGACGAGGGCAGACAGTGATGGAAAAAAGTAATGAATATTTTACAGGCAGGGAGTGCGGAGCTGCACTCCAGGTGACACTCTCGCGTTTATAGAGCTTATCAGAAACCATCGAGGACGGTCGAGGGAAAGCCATGTGTCTGATTGTTTATTAGCAGCCTGCTGGTGGGTTCCCCTGTTACATGCACACCGCCTGCATCAGACCAATCACAGGCACATTATGCTGTGAATTGGACATTTAAATGCCCCTTTTGAAATGGACTGCTGCTGTTGAAGTTTGGCTCCGAATGTTTCAGATTAGAGGCGGGCCATATGAGGAAGCTGTACACCTGCAATATGGTACCGGTTCCCTGTAGGGAGCTGATATGGATTTGTGTAATGTCAAATTACAAATTATATTAACTCCAGGCTTCCAGGCTTCCCACAGGTAGCTTAAAGTTAATATACATACATACGTGCAACACACTGTTGCTCATAAAGTTGGAATAAAATATTTTTTTCCTTTTTTCATGAAATGATTGTGACAATGTGATTTATTTAATTTCACCTGGCTAATTGGGACACATAATGTAATCATTGCACCTGGTCAAAAGTGATTACTGATGCATTTAAATAGGAATAAACAGAGGATTGTGTCTGAAAACAAAATTATTCCAACTTTATGGGCAACAGTGTATGTACTGTATATATATATTATTCCACTCTGTGTAAAAGTATAACATACTATTTATTAATCAAACTCACAACATAATTGTTCCATCAGGAGCACACGTTTCCCCTCAACTGTGATCTGCACAAGTGTTTTAAATAAATGTCTGTGGATTTAAACAAAGCTTGGCTGTACACCATGACCTACTGGTATCAGTAGGGTTTAACCCTTGCATGTATGGGTTTTCCTATCCTCCAGGGGTCTTTTGAAATAATATACAACTAACTAAGTAACTAAGTAACTAAGTAACTAACTAAGTAACTAAGTAACTAAGTAACTAACTAACTCATTCACTCACTCACTCACTCACTCACTCACTCACTCACTCACTCACTCACTCACTCAGATTTGAAATTGAAATAACATTAAACTGTTCAGAACACACTGTAGTTATTATTACAACCCCCTGTAAAAACATGTTTTTTTAAATTTATATATTATTAAATAATAGCCTGCGCTAAATGTTATTTGTACGTTTTAAAACATATTTGTTATGTTATGACTATACACACATTGTACTGCTTTACATATAGGCTAATGTAACTGCCTAATAAATAGCGCTTACCCACAATTACTGAGCACAGCGTTCACAAATAACTGTCACTGGCGTGTGGTATTTGCAGCATGGTTGTGAGCTCTACAAGGCCAAATGAGACCAAACAAGAAAAGTCTTACATACCTCTGGTCTCTAAAAACCCCAAAATATTTTAGAGAAAACCCTTGAAAAAGATAAGGAATATGAATCATTGTGACTCAATAAAATTGTTCAAATCAAATAGTTTGAAGATTAGAAAATACCTCAGTGCTTACTTCAATAAAGTGAATGGATTCGACAAAGTGCAATATGGTCTCCAAAGACCCATGGTTAAACTGAAGGATATGTATTTTTGGAGAGAGGTCTGTGAATGACGCTGATGCCCATTCCTCTTAATGCTTCTCCTCTTACTCAGGTGAGGCACAGCTGGGATGTTTTCATTTTGTTTCTTAAAGTCTCCTCTGAGTGTTTGGGTGTTGTTCATCTAATGACTGGCCTCTTGAGAGAAAATGCATTTGTATGAAATTAAAAGGAAACCTCCTTAGAGGGGCAACGTGTGTGTACGCACATCAAAAGAAAAAAAGTAGTACTGACAACATCTCTCTGCAGCTTGTGTGACTCGTACTGTGCCAGCCCTGCTTGTGAAGCAGTCCTTGAACAAGGGCGCTTTTTGATTTGGTGTGTGTGTGTGTGTGTGTGTGTGTGTGTGTGTGTGTGTGAGAGAGAGAGAGAGAGAGCTCTACACTGCTCAAGGTGCCAACCACTTGAATGACTTTGCTGCGAGGGATTAAGAGTAACAGCGATCTATCTCTTCATGAAATCTGTCTGTAGCTTTTGGAAAAATGGAAATGATTTCAAAATGTTGAAGTACATGCAACCACGAGTGCCAGACCACGTTCTCTCACTCTCTCACACTCACACACACGCACGCACACACGCACACAGTCTGTTTGAGGACTTTACATGTGCTTGCATCATCATCCTTTTAATTGAGCTTCCTTTCCTGTGCCTGTCGCAGCGCTCTCACATTTCTTCTCTTCTCTTCTCTTCAGCAGTCAGCTGCACACTCCTCCTCCTCCTCTTCATCACCAAGCAAAATAGGTGATGTACATTTATATAAACTGATTAGCATTTCATCCCGGCCTTGGTTTTCTCTTCGCACTAGCGGAGTACAAAGAATCGATAGACACAATGCAGGGGGAAAAGAGAAGCGTGGAGAAATCAATTTGGGCTTGAAGTCAAGGTGAGAAAGGCAGTTGCATGGTCTCTTATAAAATCAGCTGCTAGACAAAGTGTGGAGAAGACTGTCTGGGACAGAGACCCAGAGGACATGGCAGGACTCTGCCTCTGTTGTTGGTGTGGATCAATAAGAGGAGACACGAGGGTCGCAGGTGGAGAGGTCTGACTAACCGATATTTTCTTATTTCATTTTCTTTTGTATGCAGTACTAAAATTGAGACACAGGTCATATTTTAATCTCCAATCCTAACTTGTCCACTGCAGACTGCCCAGACTAGTTTTGTTTTTCTCTTTGAGGTAATTTCTCTCTGCCAGTGCAGCACAAGTGAGTAGAGGTTACAAAAAAGGGGGATGACAGAAACAAAAACAAAGAACATTCCTCACGACATTTCAGGGGAGACAAACAACCACAGCTAAAGTAATGACTCAATTTTAGTGCATTTCTCACTTTACCTCGCTCTTCCACTAAAACTCTGGAGAGTATTAGTCATCTGTGTGTCAGGTGGAGGAAGTCTGAACACATTTCAAAGAAGATTTAAACTTTCTTTGTGTAGAAAAATGTCCATGCATTTCAAATTGAGGGAGAAAAAATCAGTGAAGTTCATTAAGATTTATTCATATGAAAATAATATAACAATAATAAGAACATAAGACAGGTTTTAAACTGCATTAAGAGGGACTGTGTGCAGTGTAATACCAAGGGCTGTCCCTGAATAAAAAACATTTTATTCGAATTTGAACAGATACAGGATTTGTGCTCTTTGAACACTCTGAAACAGCAATTTCTTAAATTGATTTCTGACAGGGCGACTTCTGCAAATGAATGCAGTCATGCAAAGTTTTTTTCTTTTTCTTTAAATTCTAGTGCTTGTAGCATTGTAGCAATACATATCTGTGAACATTTTTGTGATTTTTGCAGATAACTCTCCAGGAAATAACTCTTTAAATATTGAAAATAAAAATAAAACAAAAAACAAAAAAAACAGCCCGGCTTCATTTTACTAACTGACTAATAATGGGCTATCGCGCTAGTTTCATATTTGAGTGTATTTCTTATAATATTATGTCCATCACAACATCAAAACACCTATTCAGCATCCTATTCCATACCTACTGTAATCTTCTTTAAAAGGTGCATCAAGTGATTCTTCCTGCCCCATAGCACAAAATAACTCTGACATAAAGTCTAACCTAGTCGGAACACCTTCCCCAGAATCCTCTTTCAGCCGGCATCACAAGACATTTCACTCTTAAGCCCAGAAAGCAAATAACAATGCATTTTCATTATTTCATAAGTTTAAATGTATATATTAGATATATTCCCTCCTCACTATAGGTGTCTGACTAGTCTCTGCTGTGACAGCGTGACTCCCTGCTGTTGTCACTGTAGCTGTGCCGGAGACACGTCTATGCTATTTAATTTCTTGGCTGCTAATAGAGGTCAATACAAGTCATGTTTCGCTTAACGCCCCATTTAACCTTGAACAGCGCTGCAGTTCAGTTCAGCTTGACCAGAAAAAGGTGGTCAGAACAACGTGTTAATGCCTGCTAAATGGTTTTAGAAGGTACAAGAGGATCCTCGGTCCTCACTGGCAGGTACATTATAAGGAATGTGCTTCTAACGTGTAATCCTTGATTGTCGAACACTGACCTACCTAGCTACTGCTTGTGTTGGTGTGAGTAAAGTGCAGACAAACTGTGGGCCGACAATTTTTTATCTATTTATTTTTTTTATGAACAACTTCAAAAAAGCAGGGTTGTCCCAGCAGCTCGGAGCTTAGTAATTAAGGGGTTAAAAGGCTGATGTGATTTAGGCCCATGAGAGGTAGCTGGCCTTGTGGTTATTATATTGAAGTGTCAGAATTACTAACGTGTGTGGGTGGAACCACTGACCAGAGAAAAAGAAATGGCACGCTCATCTGCCACTTGAATGTTGAATCAGAATAAAGTCTGACTGCCAGAACACTAAGAATTACTGAACTGCTTATTATCGTCATGAAAACTGCTTATACCACCTCTGTTCAGAATTTAGCTCCAGTAATTTCAAGAGAAATTTCAGAAAAACATTTCACTTTTTCTACTTTCCTCTGAAGGAAGGTGCACCTACTATATATTCTTTTGTATTTTCTGATTTCTCACCGCATGATTACCATGTACAAGGGGTCTATTTGGTCCACTGTGTATGTGCTTGATATTCTTGTGCTTCCTTTTGCGCCTTTATTATAATAAGTAAGTTCTAGAAATTCACTCCATGCGGCGGATGTGGACAGAGGGGAGGCTGTGTGCGGGTGCAGATGTACAGTCCTCAGCCACCTGCAGGAAAACAAATTCAAACAAACCTGGTAAAGCCCTGCTGAAGCGTTAAAGAGGAGGGTTTGTTTTCGAACTGGTCCAAGTATAATAAATCCTCGACTGTTATTCTCATTAATATGACTCTCCCTCTCAGCTGGTGTCCACGTCGATGTCATGACAGTTACACAGTTGTTTCGATCTTTTCAATGATCTCTATCATAGACTTGGAGGGAGAAAGCACAGAACATTCGTCTTGATCCCAGAAGCTGCCGGGGCTGGAGTTTCCATCTGTGCTCAACTCGTCGTCCTCCTCTTCCTCGCTCTCCTCCTCGCAGGACTCCAGGTAGTGCAGACCCAGCGCGTTGATGCCGGAGTCCTCGGAGCTGGACGGAGAGGAGCAGTGGTCCATTTTGGGGCCTTTTATCTTATCCACAGGGGAGGGGTGTTTGTGTTCACTGTACGCCTGCTGGACTGGCTGCACAGGAGCAGGTGCGGGTGTGTGTTGGGTCGGCAGCGAGGGCTTGACTGGTTGCCGAGGCTGAGCGGGATTCTGGGGCAACTGAGGTGTAGCTGGAGCAGGTGGGGGAGGGGTGGGAGGATGAGGCGGTTCTGGTAAGGGGGGCGGGGGGCGCTGCACGTAGCACATCTTTCCGCTGATGCGCTTGACAATGTAGTCGTCCACAAAGAGGTCCGCGATGACGCAGTACTTGGGCGACTCCAAGTGAGGCGGGGACCGGAAGCAGGGGGCGAGCTTCAGGAAGCGCTCAGCCAGAGAGACGGAGAGGTCGATGGTGTTGCTGTACTCTGAGCCGACAGGCGGCACGGTTGTGCTAGGCAGCTGGCACACATTGGTCATGGGTTGGTACACGTACTTGCCTAAAGGAGGAGGGAGAAGAAAAAACACAGGGACTCATGTTCATTGTTGAGATGTTACTTCATGACAAAGTTCTAAGCTGTGGAGAAACACGGATCACATCTTTTATTCTAAAACTGCTTTACTCGGTATTGTTATATTAACAATGATCAAGTGCCTGCTTGTATGTGAAAGCCCCTCGCATATAGTGACTAAACCCAAAAAAAACATCACCTGACTGCAGTTCCCCTCAGCGCTACAGAGCATTTGAGCATCTTTCAGCTTATTGAGCCACTATTGATCCATTAAAATCCACTGTACACTTCCTGCTCAGCACCAAACAGCTGACAGACTAGCTAGTGAACACAGTGCAGCATTTAGCAGCGAAAGAGACAGATATTCCCTTTGGGAGTTGGTGGAGACCGACGCAGAGTGAGAAGGAGAGAGAATATTAGACTTACTACATTCAACACATCAAAAGAAACACAGCTTTTAATGAATGCTAATGCTGCTCCTGGTTAAAGTGTTTAATATGGAACTGTTTGCTAATATGTTCTCCATGTTATCTTAAAAGATGATAAAATATCTGTCTGTGTTGTTTCTGCTAAAAGAAAAAAAACACATAAAAGGAACACACACACACACACACACACACACACACACACACACACACACACACACACACACACACACACTAAATGCAGGTTTAAATGAATAAAATATGGCACAGTATGGAAACATTTGGCAAGAATCTCAGCAGCAGCATACAGTATGTATGCACTCTGAAAACTGCGATTCACGTAAATAAAAATAACACGGCGAGATAAAAATACAATGTCTAACTTCTTACTCTGTGTCCCTGTTAGCTGTTCTATTATCTGTTGCTCCATGTCAAATTTATGTAACAGAAAAGTGTTATTGAGAATTTACATATCAAAATCCCTCACTCACTGACTTCCTGTAAAACATGACACTAGGGGGTATATACTGTATATATTTATCTAATCAAATGTGAACCCATCATATAAAACCACACTTTCCTCTTGGGTCGCAGTATCTCGCAGAGCAACATAGGAGCAGCATAGAGGAGCTTTATAATGATAATGATGATAACAATAGTACTAGTCAGTCTCAACCAGGGACACAATTTCTGAAGATGCCGAACAGTGGGCTCTGAGCTTATAGTGTGCCTGTAATAATAAATCACTTCTCCAGTTCTCACATCACAAAGCATATTGTGCTGCCAAAGCGAAAAATACCACCAACATCTGAGGGGGAGCTGCTGCAAGAGTGAAACATAGTTTAAATTTTAGGACATCCAGAGCAGTGCATCAATCATTTTTGACTCTTCAAAACTGATGCAAGGCTGGAATGAGAAAATGATGAAACGGCATGTAGAATTAAGGCCACGCAACAGCGTTTAGGGCTCAGAAATCATGATGTGGAGCTGATTTACATCTGGATTAGAAACACAGTGGATTAGAATGGTGTAATGTACTGTACAGTGTCACATCAATTCTCAAACACATTTGTTCTGGAGAAAGCCCATATTCATATAAAAATGAACAACGCCTTCCGTGCGTGCCTCCCATTCTGGCAACTCGTGTACTGGTGGTGTGCAAAAATGACTGCTCCCAAATGTTACTCATTGTTTGCAGCCCACTGCCTCCAACTCCGCGCCGTGCTGCTCCTGAATACTGTAGCTCAGATGTGTCTTTAGCTGGCTCCCTGGAGAGAGAGGAACTACAGACGATGACAGGCCTACGCATCACTTCCTCTCACTCTGTGTCCTTGTCTTTTGTTTCACCGGCTGGGGGGGGGGGGGGCCCCATTCAATCAAACTCTTTTCCCAGGTTACAGTGAAAACATCAAACTACTTCACGGGGGAGTGGCTCTTTTTTGCATTGCTGAATGGACAAAGAGAGCTTGTAATGCTGATGAAACATTTTTTTTTGCACACAATAGAACTAAATCAGCTGCACGGAGTAGTTTTAACAAAATTCATGTGTTCACATCATTGCTGAAGACACAAAAATGTATCATCCACCAGTGTGAAGAGATTAAAAGAGGCTGTGACTGAAGCTGGATGTCCGTCTACTTTGTAAACATTGTTAACGCAAAATACAGGAGCAAATGTTGATGCAGACAAAAGGGGGGAAAGAGTAGCCGTCCTCTGTTTAATGAGAGAAACTCAATGGTCCATGTTCAGACGGAGACGAGCCCATTCAGGCAGACAAGATGGTGGCAACAAATGAGCGCTAAAGCTGTAGAGGGCAATGTGTTGACATTTAGTTTTTAGCATATTACATCTAATTGCATTCATCCATCTGGAGTTTGAAATACCAAGAGCAATACTAGGGGACAGACAGATGCATAGGCAAACAGCAAAACAGACAGGCATATGGAGCTAACGCCACACCAACACTGGTTGTCCTCAACAGCCTTGCAGAAGGAACACAGGCTGTCTGTGGATTTAAAAGGTGTCTGCAGAATGCAGAATTATTTTGCTCTCAGTTAGAAATATCACTGTGTCTCTTGGCCCCAGGGGACGTTATGTGCCAGATTAATCTCACTTAGTTTGGCAAATAGCAAGAGAGCAGAATCTTCACGTGAAGCCCAACAACATCTTCTGTTTTTGTTTATGACCTGGACAACATGCTCTAAAATACTCTGAGTTTTCAAATACTCCCTCAGAAATACTATCATCATTACACACTACATAATTACATAATATCTCACATACTTAAATTATCCTTTTAAGGTATCCTGTGGAGTTTTTGACCAGTAGTAGTGCTATGGAACATTTTTTTTTTTTTTTTTTTTTTTTTACACCTGCATTCCTGTTTTGTTTGTATCATGCTGATGCACAGGCATGTGGGTGACATGATTTACATTCTTGCCAGCAGTTTCACACTATTCCTCTGATCAACAGCTGGGGGCTATAACACACAAAGAACTGCAGCAATGCACCAAGAAAGGCAGAGAAGAAGACAGCAAGCTGGGAAAACATGGATGTACACGATGCAGGATTTTAAATATATTAGAAATTGTCTATGACAAGGGAAATACATTAGATTCGTTTAGACATTAGACCTCAAGGATGTGTTTTGGTGAATATCACTGAACTTACATAACTTTTGTTTGTTTACAAGATGTTCTACAGGGGACCTTTAATCTAAAATTCCTGTGTAAATATCTTGGTTGCTGCAAATGTCCTATCTTGCATACGTATCAACCGGGAGCAACAATGTACAACATGAATGGCAATAACAAAAAATCTAAACGAAGCAGGACAAACAAGCTAATGCAGTAGTGTGATGTCCATGTTGCTGTACACTGTCCATGCTGTTCCCTGAGAACTGGAGCCATCAGTAACTGACAGCCAGTGGACACTGTCTGTGCAGCTTTATTGATATTCAGTTGTACTCTGCCCTTCTGTGTTGCCCCAGTGCTGAAGCCGTCGCATGACAATGGCAGCTGTAAGGCGGCCTCTGCTCGCTCTCCCTCTGCCCTGTGTGTCAGTGTGTGTGTATGCATTTCCATACTGACATGGCCCAGATGTCCAAAGAAAAATTTGCCATACTGAAGACATATAGCCAAATATTAGTTCCTAGTTAAGGGTATCTGTATTTTTCTTTGTGAATATATCCCAGAAAATAACAAAACCAACAGGACTTTAGTTCATGTCTCAAGGATTTCTGACTGTCCTACTCCATCTGTACCATTCTGCCCCAAGCCCATTATTTCCGACTGAAAAAAAAAAAAAATTTTCCCAAAAAAGGAAGGTTGAAAAGGTCCCTAAAACAGCTGGGCACTCTTGTTTTTAGCAACAAGACTGCCCAACAAGAGTGAAAATACCATGTTTTGTTGGGGAGTAATTTCAGCTGTAGATTAATACCCAAATGGTATTTGGCTCTTGTTTGTTTACACACACAAGGAAGGTGTGTGTGCGCGTGTGTGTAATTATCATCAGAATAATAATCTATGTCAGGCTTTGTCCACACAGACAAAACTTGGTTTTGCTCTTCTTGTAGGATTTGTTGGCAATAAGAAAAAAAAATGTAATATCACCAGATTATCCCTTAATAGTGAGGATTAAAAAAACAAATCCACCCTAAATGGTAAGAGACAGCTACTGGTGACGTGTTTAACATTTTTGTTGTCCTTTTTGTTCTTTTGCAGTGAATTTCGTTTTCCTCTAGATAACCGGCCAGTCATAGACAGCATGATGTCACAAGACATTTCAAGCCTTGTTATAGTGATGATTGACAGAATAAAAAAAAATCAGCCACCTGAAGCATCCACAGTAAATGTCAGGGTTTTGAGTCAGTGCCACAGAATTAAACACTAGGAGCTCCCCTGCAGACCCAGCGCTTTACATCCACCATCGTACTGAGACGAATCAAGAGCAAGAGGAATCACACACACAGTGTTTTCCACTGACTGCAGCCTCAATAGAGCAGAATAACACGCAGCCACAGGACATGTTGCACTTTGGGTAAGGTGAGTGACTCTTACTTTTTTCTTCACAGTCCTTCCTTTCACTACGTTAACATGAAATACCACTAAAAGCAACAGGTTCAGTGAGGAGATGGGGGACATCACTAAGTAAAGGCAATGCAAGTGAGGGTGTTGAACACATCAAACAGGAAATAACAGCTCTTCACTGCAAAAATGTAATTATTAATGCATGAATTCTGCAATTAAAAGCCGTGGAGGTGACCCTCTCCCCTTAGGGAACAAACTTTGCATGTGAAAATACGATGTGAGATGTCTCCTATCTCCAGAAATAGGAAACTATCATAAAAATATCTACAATATATATTAGGTAAACTTGGAAACTTAATTATTTTAGTCAGTGTAAGAGTAATTAAACAGTTGGAACGAGGAGATAGAGAACATTATATACAGCCAAAAGATGTTTTTAAAAGACATCTATGGTGAAAAACGAGAGTGCAAGAGGTTAATGAGAAAGCGAGAAAACAAGCAGCTGATTCCTACAAAGTTACAGATCGCTCTGTAG